CCCCCCCCCCCCCCCCCCCCGCCCGTCACAGCGGCGCATGATCAACACAGCACACGACGTACCTTCAAACAACACACCATCGAATCCATTCCACTTCTCCACTTACACAATAGCGTTTCCGTTCACTTACCATCTACCCCCTCAGGCTATCGGATACAAGGTCGTCCACCGGCGATCGCATGAGTCAACTAGGGTTCGGGCGAGTGTAAGGAACAACGAAAGGTTGGCTGGTGCTAGAGTAGGGTGAAGAGAGCGGAGAACGCGTAGGTGGGTGTCATTGTCATCGCACAGAGTCCGACGGGAAAGATGAGGGAGGGAGGGAGGGAGGGAGGGAGGGAGGGAGAGAGTACGGCGTCAGTGGCGGAACGGCGATGAGTGCAGAGTCGTATAGAGTGTACTCGCGCAGCTGCTATAGAGAGTGATTCGCAGTCTGGCGGAGTCGCGGAGTGGCAGTGATAGCTGAATACCTCCAGAGGTTTGAGTCCGGACGAGGACGGTTGCCATTGAGGTCGAACGAGAGAATAGCAGTGGCACGGACGATAGAACAAAGGCGCAAGCGAGAAAGAGTGAAGACAGGAGCCGAGTAAGCAAGCAGATGATATAAAAAGTGATAAATATGAATAACGGGCGTAGGCCCCAGTGTAATCGACAGAACGCCCAAGGAAAGATCTATGAAGGACGAAATAGATGAGATGGATAGTTCATGAAGCAAAGGCGGGACGACGCACTAGTAATTTTCCGCCCTTCTATCCCCTGCACCCCGCGCACTAATCCAAATCCACCAACGACTCCCTCCTCTGCATCTGCTCCCCATGCGCACACGGCCCCCCATGCAGCACCGTATGATTCGGCATCACACCGCCCTCCACCGGGATCTGCAACGCGATCGTCTGCTCGCTCGACGGATACGTCGTATTATGTCCGAACGTGGACACGGCGGCGGTGTCGACGGCGAGAATCATGCCGTTGCGGCCGCCGTACACCCAGGCTTCGTCGGTGCCGTTGGGGAGGGTGATGTGTGCGAGGCCGGAGAGAAAGACGACCCATCTATAAGCGCGAGAGGGTTTCAGTGTCTCTCATTGGATGAAGGGAAGGACGGGAGGGGAGAGAGGAGAGGAAGGACGCACTGGACGTTGGGCGCGTTATGGAGTCCGGCAGCGAACTCGGCAGGGAGGATAGAGTAGCTTGCATTCGCAAGATCACCGAGCGGGAGGATCTTCGCGCCTGTTGTTCCGGCTTGGGAGGAGGAAGTGAAGCCGGAGGAGAGGGACCAGCATTCGAGAGTGGAGGAGCCGTTGGAGGCGGCGAGCGTGGTGATGTTCAGTGTCGTGAAGTTCGACATCGGTGTTAGGTTGGAGGTTAGAGAGGGCGGTGGAGAGGGGAGGAGGAGAGAGAGGAAGAGTCGGATGCAATTATTTCTATCGTCGTCGGGGCCAGCGAGGGCCAGCGTGGACGCATCGGACGATGACCGTGGAATTTGGAATATTCATAAGTTAAATTCGCAGGCGACGAATTCAACCGAGTCCGCGTTCCAGTAGCTTGGCGCGTACCTTCATTTACTCCCCGTCCCTTCCTTCCTCCTCTCTCCTTCCTCCTCTCTCCTCCACATCCCTCCTCTCCTTCCTCTGTCCCTTGTTGGTCCTATCCAACGATACGTCCCGCTCTCTGCCTCTGGTAAGAATCTCGAATCGTGCTTCGTACAGCTGAGATGCCCGATTCGCAGATAATGACATCAAATCACTGTTGCAGTTCCCAAAGTGCCTGAACTTTGACAGGGAAGCCTCATTCCTTCCTTAGGACGCCAAGCTTGTCTCGATGGGGGTTAACAGCTTTTAGTTTTGGCTTTGCATGAGATCAAACTGGAATCGAGATCATCAGACCGTTTCCCTTTTTTTCCCGTCTTCGACCGATAACCCTTGGGAGGAAGGAACGAGCGGTTATGGGTCCTTGTTTTCGTGAGGGTTGATGACTCGGGTCGGACGCGCTACGAACGTTTCCTTGAGGGCTGTTTTCTGCTCTATCGTTCTCTGGGGCGCTCGGCTTTCTGGATTACGAATTGTTCTATGTTCTATCGTCTCCTCTCTGCGTGAAGACTCCGCCCGAGCCTCACGACGAACGATCCCGAGAGCTCGCGCGACAGAGTCCTCTTCATGACTACTGTTCAGACCCAGCTGGTACATACTCTCGTCCGTCCAGAATTTCGCAATCTCGCATTTAAGGCGTTCCCACCCCACGTTTCTCAGTATGGACTACCGACTCACGTAGTGTTCTGCATGGGCATATGGTGTAGTTGGTTTATCACGCTCGCTTAGCATAACCCACAGGAGTTGTCTGCGAGAGGTGTCCGGTTCAATTCCGGATATGTCCATTGTACGTAGTCGATTTATGGAACAGTTTTATGCAGAGAGAGAGACAGAGTCGGTATTATTTCTAGCTGTTTTTTTGCTGGACTTTTGGACTTTTGGTGACACACCGGGCTCGGGTACCGAACTTTCGCCTGTCTCGAATGATATGAATTTATGAGGACCGACATCGTTTTTCACTCCGCTCAACAAAGATTTCCTCGTTGGGTACTATGGTCCTTAACTTAGTACACACGTACTCGTACACCCTTCTCATGGGCATATGGTGTAGTTGGTTTATCACGCTCGCTTAGCATGAATCGGCAAATAATGAGTTATCTGCGAGAGGTGTCCGGTTCAATTCCGAACATGTCCATTGTACATAGTCGATTTATGGAACAGTTTTATGCAGAGAGAGAGACAGAGTCGGTATTATTTCTTGCTGTTTTTTGCAGGACCTTTTGACTTTTGGTTACACACCGGGTTCGGGTACCGAACTTTCGCCTGTCTCGAACGATATGAATTTATGAGGACTGACATCGTTTGCGCCACGGTCAACAAAGACTTCCTTGTTGGGTACTACGGTCCTTAACTTACTAGACACGTACTCATGTCGGGATTTTCATGGGCATATGGTGTAGTTGGTTTATCACGCTCGCTTAGCATGACTCGGCAAATAATGAGTTATCTGCGAGAGGTGTCCGGTTCAATTCCGAACATGTCCATTGTACATAGTCGCTTTATGGAACAGTTTTATGCAGAGAGAGAGACAGAGTCGGTATCATTTCTAGCTGTTTTTTGCTGGACTCTTGGACTTTTGGTGACACACCGGCTCGGTACC